TGTAAAATGTACTCGTTAATTCAGTTGTTTTACTGCAAGAGAGTTTTAATAAACTACTTTACTTTACTTTCGCGTGATACCTTTTAGTAAGTGTAATACCTTTCGCGTGATACTTTTTTGCGTAATGCCTTTCTGCGTGATGCCTTTCTGCGTGATGCCTTTCTACGTGATGCCTTTTAGCGCGATGCCTTTCAGCGTGATGCCTTTTAGCGTGATGCCTGTTTGCGTAATGACTATTGGTAGAATCGGCTAGTTGTCATTCAGCTTTTGGTTGATGCATGTACAATTTGGGTAATTTGATATCAGTTACTGGGTGCTGAATTTTGTCATAGATATAGCTCCATACTTACGCCAGCTATTTTGAAAAGGGGAGAAGACCCTGGAGATGAGGTTGGCGAGATGCGTTCTGGGGACTGGGAACTAGTAACCCTTCTCACATCAAAACGAGGCTACTCTCTGCACCTTCCCTTCTTTCTCCCATCATGGCAGTATCGAAGGACACGTGTCGTCTTTGGTTGTTCATCTCCACTTTCACTGTTTTTCTCGCTCTCTTTCAGCTGACTGAAGCAGGCGGAAAAACTCTCGTCCTTGTCGATAATGCCAACACGAAGGAAACGCATTCCATCTTTTTTAACTCTCTCAAAGGTAGGAATAAACTAACAAAGTAGCAGGTTTGGTCTAGAAACAATAGCTGTAAGTGTCCAGTCAGCGGGTTAAAATTTCAGTCAGCAAGCACGGAAAGGGGAAATTAGTTCCAAGAAACTCTTAAATGTATCATTTTTCAAACTTTTATTACCATTAATCTTGTTGTTGTATACACGATCCATGCATCTTACGTACTTTCTTTTTAGAAACTGAGAATTGGTAGTAAAATCTACTGCTACTACTCGCCCAGCCAAAGAAACAACGGCCTTAAGTTATTAATATAATTTTTCTTTTGAAAAATCAAGAACAAAATAACGCAACCAAGTCCGATGGTGTGACCGTTGTTACAAGAAAACGATCAATAAGGTTATTGCTTTGGTTAAACAATGTTGTCGTGAAGTCCATTGAATTTTATTAATAGATTGTATTAATTTGGCTATATTTAAAACAGTTTATATAAACTGATCCTGGCTCAATATGTACATGTAGTACAAAAGCAGAGTTTCGTGAAATTTGATTGAGCTTTAACCCATGTTTTAAATCTATAATGTTAATAATAGAAGTCCCTCTTCCCCTCCCCCCCACCCCCGCTAACACTAAATCAATGGACAGAGGCCCTGTGACACTGAAGTGTCTTGCCTAAGAAGATAATATGAGGCCTGCTGATTGGCTCAAACTTAGCTTTATTGTTTTCTTGTGTCAGAAAGGGGATTTGATCTGGTGTTCCGCTCTGCTGACGATTCAAGCCTTTCTCTGGTGAAATATGGAGAGTTTCTTTATCAGCATCTCATCATCTTTTCACCATCTGTTGAAGGTTAGTGTTCATGACCTCTCTTTCATAAGGGAGAAACACAGACGAGCCTTTAAGTATGCCTAATGATAGAACAATTATGAAACTATACATTTTTAAGTGATGACGTATTGTGTGACGTCATCGCTTTATGCTGGCATGTATGCATTCCTTTGGATAGTGATTTCGCATAGTTTGTTGCGCTTATGTCCGTGCCCTTATGTCATGCACAATTTATCCCCCTGTGGAAGCGAAATGCACACTGGGAGTTCCTTCACTGCTTTCCTTTGCTGTTTGCAGGTTCAGCGGAGTGCTTTTAATTGTAGCTTTTAAAAGAAGATTTAGGGGTGGATTTTGGTTTAAACAGTATCAGATAATGTCGAGGAAAAGGTTGTTGTTATTCATCGTGGTAGATGCAATAATAAAGTGTATTATCGTTTGTC